TCAGCAACCACAGGGAAAGTCAGCCCACCGTAAGGGGATAACCCACACCCGCCCAGAGGAGGGCAAGGCCAGAGACCAAGGCCAGGTGGTGTGGCTGGCCACGTGAGGCAGAGATAAACAGACCCTAGGCACCAGGAGACTGGGAGCCCACGCAGGACCCGGGCCACCACTGTGCTCACCGCCTGCCGCGTGGCCGTGCAGACACCACAGGCACAGAGCGCCTGTTACAGCCGACCTACTGTACCACAGGTTTGTATACACAGGAAAACACGTGGCATTCCCATGGTTTCAGCATCTGCTGGGGGTCCCGGAACAAATCCCCAGGAAAGGGGATGCCTGCCCTGAGACACACAACACAGACAACTGTGAAAGAAGCCTGCCCCAAACAGGGCACGACGATCCACAGGATGTGAAAGACCACGCGGAGAGAGGGGAACAGGAGGACAGGGGCAGGTGGGATGGGAGGACAGGGGCAGGTGGGGAGAGCGGGGGGGGACGGGACGGGAGGACAGGGACAGGGCAGACCCCTGGGGATGACAGGGACCACTCACAGTGACCGTGCTGAAGGCCACACGGTATATACACAACAAAGCTCATCAGGTTGCACATTTTTAAAAAACTTTTCTTAGATCTTTGTAAAGATTTATTTGAAAGACAGAGCAACAGAGAGTGAGGAAGAAGAGAGAATATCTTCTATCCACTGATTCATCCCCGAATGCCTGTAACAGCGAGGGCTGGCCAGACCAATGCCAGGAGCTCTGAACTCCACCTGGGCCTCCCATGTGGGGGGCAAGGGCCCAAGCGCTGGAGTCACCACCTGGGCCTCCCCGGCTGTGCATCGGCAGGAAGCTGGATGAGAAGTGTGGTGTGGGACTGGAACCAGGCGCTCTGACAGGCTGAAAGACAGCACCAACAGGGACAATAATCTAACACCGGAACAGCACGGCTTAGGGAGAGCACAGAGAAAAGAAAGATGCAGAACTAACGGCAGTGAGACAAAGAACCTGCGGAGAACTCGTGAGAGAGGCAGGCAGAGGCAACACACGCTGGCCCTCCCGCGCCGAAGGGTTCTCAGCTCCATTCAAGATGAGGGAAACACGAACTGACAGCCACAGCACCACGTCCCCCCCGCACACTGGCAAGTGAACACTGCACGGCTACGGCAGCTCTCGCCGCTGTGCACAGGAACACACGCTGCATCAGCCGGCCCCACACCACCCCCACACTCTGCACACTGGCACCAAGACACACTCTATAGAATGGAGGTCAACAAACCGGGAAGCCCGGCCGGCGCTGTGGTGCAGCAGGAAGCCCCCCACTGCCCCACTGCGATGCCGGCCTCCCGCACAGCAGCACTGGGCTCGGTCCCCGTCCAGCACTGGGTCGGCCTCCCGCACAGCAGCACTGGGCTCGGTCCCCGTCCAGTACTGGGTCGGCCTCCCGCACACACTGGGCTCGGTCCCCGTCCAGTACTGGGTCAGCCTCCCGCACACACTGGGCTCGGTCCCCGTCCAGTACTGGGTCGGCCTCCCGCACACACTGGGCTCGGTCCCCACCAATACTGGGTCAGCCTCCCGCACAGCAGCACTGGGCTCGGTCCCCGCCCAGTACTGGGTCGGCCTCCCGCACAGCAGCACTGGGCTCGGTCCCCGTCCAGCACTGGGTTGGCCTCCCGCACAGCAGCACTGGGCTCGGTCCCCGTCCAGTACTGGGTCGGCCTCCCGCACAGCAGCACTGGGCTCGGTCCCAGTCCAGTACTGGATTGGCCTCCTGCACAGTACTGGGTCGGCCTCCCGCACACACTGGGCTCGGTCCCCGTCCAGCACTGGGTCGGCCTCCCGCACACACTGGGCTCAGTCCCTGTTCTGTCTGCTCCCATCCAGCTAACGCTCCCGGGAAAGCGGGGCAGGACAGTGCAAGCGCTGGGGCCTCTGTCGCCCACGTGGGAGACCCAGACAGACCTCCTGGCTTTGGCCTGGCCAGCCCTAGCTGTTGTGGCCATTTGGGGAGTAAACCAGGGGCTCAAAGCTCTCTCACTCTGCATTTCAAGTAAAAAAAAAAAAAAAAAAAGCAGACCCTGGAAGCCCCTAAATGTCCATCACTAATGGAATACTACTGAACGGTAGGGGGAAAAGCTGCCACTCGCAATGCCAGCATCCCACATGGGTGCCAGTTCAGGTCCCGGCTGCTCCACTTCCAATCCAGCTCCCTGCTAATGCATCTGGGAAAGCAGAGGAAGATGGAGCAAGTCCTTGGGGTCCTGCACCCAGTGGGAGACCCACATGAAGCTCCTGGCTTCAGCCTGGCCCAGTGCTGGCAGCTGCAGCCATCTGGGAAGTGAAACAGTGGATGGAAGATCTCTCTCTCTCTCTCTCTTTCTCTGTCTCCCCCCCCACACACACACACACCCCAACTCTAACTCCAACTTTCAAAATAAATAAATAAATCTTCCAAAACAATGAAAAAGAAAAATGCTAAGCGAACTGCGATTCACAGAACACATGCTGGACAAAACACGTCGCTTAGAGCCGTAACAAGGACTCAGACGAAACCCAGGACGGGAGCCAGTGCTGGCGGCCGAGGGAAGGACTTCCCACTTGCTGCGACCCTTCGGTCTTGAGCCAGGCTCAGACACAGAGGATCACTTTGCTATCTAATCTGGACACACCTTATCACACACCTGCACATAAATAACAGACTTCACAACCTGCAATATTTGAAAAACTAAAAGGGGGCAGCAGCCGCAAGGCCAGCCAGGGCGGCAGGGCAGGCTCGGGGGTGAAGGCCCAGGGAGGAGAAGGGGCACACGGAGTGTGCAGGGGGGCCACGTAAGGACTCGGGTAATGGGCGAGCGGCCTGCTTGGACCCGCACTGCAACAGGCTCTGTGCGTGGAGCGAGAGCTGCCCCAGACCTCAGGATGAAGAGGAGCCCGGGCCAGCGTGGGGGTGGGGAGTGGGGGAGCGCGGGGGGCCCTCCCCGGGTTACACGCGGCTGTGCAGTGAGGCATCAGGGCACTGAGGGCTTTTAGCCCAAACAACCGGACAAACGAGATGAGAAAGCAGGAGGAGTCCAGTTTCAGACCCACAATTTTGGGGCCCCACTAGATACTGTACCAGGGTTTTTACGTCCCCCCAAAACTTGTGTACCCAGCATGTGTGAATGTGACCTTATTTGGAAATGCAGCATTTGAAGTCGCTGATCACCAACGACTGATGTCCTGATAAGGGCAACACCACCACCGTGCGTGCGCGCACACACACGCGTGCGTACACACACCCCTGACAGGCGGGGTCAGAGGTCGGAGTTCCGCCACCAGGAGCCAAGAACACCGAGGACTGTGGGCAACCACCAGGGGCGGAAGAGACAGGGAAGGAGTCTCCCCAGAACCCTCAGAGGCAGCACAGTCCTGCCAGCACCTTGACTGGAGACTTCTGGGCCCCAGAGCGGGAGAGGACAGAACGCGGGCGCCAAGGGCCGCGCTGGCAGCATTGATCACGCAGCCCTGGGCCTGAGCCCTGGACAGAGGATGCGCGAAGCCTCCAGAAGCCTGCAGTGAGGCGTCTGCGGCCGCCTCCTGTCTCTTCTGACCCCGTGGACCTGGGCTCATCACTCTGCCTGGAGGTCAACTGGCTGTAGGCGCAGGCGCCCGGGCAGAGTCTAGCTACCGGTCTCCGTCCTGCGATTACTCCCAAAGGCAGCGAGCTGGCCAGAACGTCCCTCCGACCTGCCCACACCCTGTTCAGGGGCTGCCTTCTCCTGGGACGTGCTGAGCACAAGCCACACGCCCGGCCAGTGCTGAAACCTCACCGCGTGTCCGGGCCGCAGGGGCAAGGCCTCTTCCGTGCTCAGCGTCCGCACACTGCGTCCGCGTGTTCATCTTGTGTCACGGCCAACACAGTGACCACTTGGCGGGTGAAACAATGCCCATTGATGACCTCACAGTTCCCACGTGTCGGACGTCTGGGCCGAGCAGGGCAGCCGGTTCTGTTTAGCTTCCCAAAGCCAGAATCAAGATGCTGGCCGGGCTGCCGCCCAAGTTTACTCAGCGGCTGGCACGGTGGCTGCAGTGCCACGTGGCTGGAGCAGAGGCCCCAGGCTCCTGCCTGTTGGCCCAGGGCCGCGGGGCAGGCAGCCTCCTCCCGCCTTGGTCCGTTCAGGGCAGAATCGCCTCCCTCTAGACTCAGGAACTTAATCGTATCCCTAAGCCCCCACTCCCACTAGTTTGGTGACGGGGCCCGGGGTCCCGGGGAGGCATCCGTGGAGCCCCGCCCTCCGCATCCACCCCGGGGTTTCAGGCAGGGACACACAGCACAGCTCCGGGCCAGCGGCTCTAGGGCTCACGGCTGCAACCGACAACCGGGCCGAAGCAGGGCCGGAGCTCTGGCAAGGACAACAAGCGGGGAACACCTCTGCCGGCGCGCGTCCCGCCGGGAAGCCCGAACTCCACGCTGCAAGGCTGGGTCGGGCGGCACGGGCGCAAGGGGGGCTGCCTTCGGGATACGTGAGCAAGTCAGCACCTGCTCGTCCAGACTAGGGCCAACGGAACCAGAACGGAACCAGACCCCCGGCCCCGCCCGGGCTGCCCCAGGGCAGGCCCCGCCCGGGTCCTCCCACAGCCGCCGCCGCCCCGGAAGCGCCAGTGCACCTGTGTCCACCACTTGCTTCTACGACACTCGCTGTTCTACCCAACGCCCAAGTTCCTCCCGACAGCGAGCGCGGGCTCTGTGCGGCACCCGCCGCGAGCCGGGCGGACGGGACGTGGCGGGGCCCGCACCGCACCTCACGCCTAGTCGGGGGCTCCCGACCAGAGAGGCGCCGGCGCCAGCCCAGCTCCGGAAGCCCCGGCCTGACCGGCCCTCGCCTCGGCGCTCCCGCGGCCGAGGGCCACCGCGCCGGGCTCCGTCCTCGGTCTCGCGCACGCGGGCGCCCCGTCCCGAGCTCCTGCGCGAGGCCCCGGCTCCCCCGGGTCCCAGGCCGCAGCCCGCCGCCCCGGACTCACGTTTGTACTCGGCCATCAGCCTCTTGAGCGCCGTACCCGCCATGGCCCGGCGACAGCTGGCTCAGCGGCCTCGCCGCATCCGCGCTCGTCCCTCCCGCCCCCTCGCGAGGGACTTCTTCCGGGTCGCCGCCGTGGGCGCGCAAGCCCTTCCGGGGCGAGGCGGGGCGCGCATGCGCGGCGTCGCAGCAGGGCTGAGCCGGTGTGTGGGCGCCCGGGCGTCTTCCGGGCGGGGCTCGGCACCGGTGGGCGGCGCGTTCCGGCGTCGGGGAGCGGGGCCGCGCCTCGGGGCTCGGCCGGGAGGAGGGCGGAGGCCGCAGCCCGAGTTCCGGCCCTCCCTTCCTGCGCCCAGTGTGTGCGGGCCGCGGTCCCCGGCGCCCGCCTTCTCTGAGGGGCGGTCCCGTCGGCCCCGGCGCCCGCCTTCCCTGAGGGGCGGTCCCGTCGGCCGCCCTGTCGGGTGCTGGGGGCCCCGAACTCGCCCACCGCGGCCTGCCTCCTCCGTCGCGGAAGGGACTCCTCCCGCGGGCGGCCGTGGCCTCCGTCGGCGTGGTCGAGGGCGGCAGAGGACTGTGGGGATGTCCGTCCTCCACGGCGGGACGCAGGCGTCCTCGCTGTGCCCCGGGCGTCCCGCCTGCGCGGGTCTACACACAGAGCTCCTCGGGGCTGCCGGCCACGCTCCAGCCCTGGCGTCCAGGTGTCGTTTGCTACTCACCGATGGCACTGTTTTGAAAAACGCGGGTTGGGCCGGCGCCGCGGCTCACTAGGCTAATCCTCCGCCTGCGGCGCCGGCACCCCGGGTTCTAGTCCCGGTCGGGGCGCCGGATTCTGTCCCGGTTGCCCCTCTTCCAGGCCAGCTCTCTGCTGTGGCCAGGGAGTGCAGTGGAGGATGGCCCAGGTGCTTGGGCCCTGCACCCCATGGGAGACCAGGAGAAGCACCTGGCTCCTGCCTTCGGATCAGCGCGGTGCGCCGGCCGCAGCGGCCATTGGAGGGTGAACCAACGGCAAAGGAAGACCTTTCTCTCTGTCTCTCTCTCTCACTGTCCACTCTGCCTGTCAAAAAAAAAAATGCGGTTTGTAGCTCGCTTTGTCACCGGAGGGAAGGCCGTGGAGGCCGTGGGTTCTCGTCTTCCAGCAGCAAATCCAGGCGTGAGACAGAGCGGAGTGATGAGGCTTCACTGGGGACAGGCACCGGTCAGGACGGAAGGGACAGAGAGCGCCCAGCCGCTGGGACTGGGGGCAGCGAGGCCACGTGGCTGAGTGGAGGGACACACCTGGGCAGGCCAGGCGGGCGGTCAGCGCAGAGCAGAGGGCCGAGCGCCGGCGGTGGGGCTCCCTGGGTTTTTAAGGGCGTCTCTTTACCCCTCCCCCTCTCCTCCTGGACAAAGGGTGGGGAGTCCTGGCGGAAGGGTTTATTGGGTGAAAATTAGCAAATTCCTCCCAGATTCGCTGGCTCCTGGCAGAGTAGGGGGGCCCCCCTAGGGCGTCTGGGAAGGCTTTAGTGCCCCGCGTCCTCAGGTCAGGAGCCCCTTTGGTCCTGAGGAGAGAATTCTGGGAGCTTTCCCCGGGGCAGGGCTGGGACCCCCTGGGAGGTCTCCAGGGCCCGGGCAGGACTTTGGAGTGGGGGACGCTGGGCTTCGGGGCTTCCGTAGCAGGTGCTGTCTTCAGGTCTCTCTCTCTCTCTCTCTCTCTCTCTCTCTCTCTCTCTCTCTCTCTCTCTCGGCTTCGGGGCTTCTGTAGCAGGTGCTGTCTTCAGGTCTCTCTCTCTCTCTCTCTCACACACACACACACACACACAGAGGCTAAATCCTGACTTCCTACCTAACAGTATCAGGATTAGTTTCATGTTCAAGTGGTGAAAACCCCCACAATACGAGTTGATCACACGATGGCCGTGGCACTCCTAGGTGGCGGTGCCGTCCCTGCCGGCAGGCTGTGCGTCCACTGTAGTCCGCGGACTTGGCGGGTGAGCGAGTCAAGCCCGCTTTCCCCGCCTCCCCGAACCCTTCGGCTGTGCTCGCTCACGGCTTTGTCGCATCTGGTATTCCGACTTCCTCAGCGCCAGGCTGGTATCCATTCACTGCATCCCAAAGCAGACGAGCAAAGAGGCGGCCAGTTGTGCAAAGGAGAATACAACGTGATGCCCCATTAACATCCAGGCTTGTCTGCCACCCAGAGCCCCCGGGACGGGATGCCAGTGCCGTCGGCTGAGGGGGCTCCCGGGGGAGAGCATGCCCCTGGGCGGGAACAACCCTGCACCCCCGTGGACGCCACATGGAAACTAACTTTCCGGGGAGCAGCTTTCAAATCGGGGTTTCTGCGCGGCCTGGCTGAAGGGTCACTGCGCCGTGCCAGGACGGGCGGCCACCCTTCAGATGCACTGTGTAATACACTCCAAGAGACAGGATACCAAACTATATTTACTGTGTACAGTAGGAAAGGACAACAGTTATGTACAAATTGGCGAGTAAACACAACAGAGCCAACAAACACCCCACTGCACCCAAACAGTGAAACAGGAAATGAGAACACCTTCAGCAAGATTTCAAGCAAGCCAGAGAGGCGGACTCCTGCGGCTGACTATAGAAAGGCAGAGGCGGCCACCGGCAGCAGTGGTCCTTCTAGGAGGACAACAGGCAGAACTATGCACATTTTAATTGGTACACATCCCAGAATGCATTCACAGAACTGAAACCCCCTACCAATGCGTAAAGTCAGTACGTGTTTGGAAAGCAGCATAGCACAGACCCACAGAGGTCCTCTCCCATGGGTTACAGAGGTCGCCTCCCTCGGAAGTGGCTCCACACAATAACAAACCGGAAAGTCAGCGATACTTAACCTTACTGTTCCATATAGAGACCGTAATTGTTCATCAGAGCAAACACTAGGAGAAATCTGAGACCACAATACTATTAACAAGGAGAAAGGTGGTAATGACTTTCTTCTATGTTAATAAAAGGGAAAAAGCCAATTTTTGGTGTGCCAGGCTCTGCCCATGTACAAATCACTAGGTGCTGAGCGAGCCGGGGCTGCCGGGCCCTGGAGCCAAGGGGCCACACTCAGCAGGGCAGAGCGTGCTTGGGCCATTTTACTAAAGGACTTGTTTATGTTTTTACTTTTTAAGAAGCGTTCCAGATTTTCCCTTCCACGTTACCAAACGTGACCAGGCTTCGATGTCCAGTATCGAGCATTTCAACAACCCGTGCCTGCAAGTGTAAGTGAGGGCCTGTCCTGCACCCCCCCAGCCGCGGGTTACGGGCAGGATCAGGCGAGCCTGGCACGGGGAGCCAAGGCCCATCCTCGGGAACCCACACTCGGGCCACAGGTCTGGGGAGAGAGGAGGGGACAAATACAAATGAAAAACCCCAAAAACTCATTTTACCTAAACAAAGATAACAATTCTGATTGGCCCCATTTCAGTCGTGGATTCGTCCCTGCAGAGAGTTTGAGCCAGAGAGGAAGTCACTTCGCTGCATGTCCTTGAGTTTCTGCAGACTCCTTTGTGACTGCACGGTCTCGGGTTCACTATTCAACAGCAAACGCAAGGATGGAAAACAGGCCACGCCCCGGCAAGCGGCTGCTCACGCCGCCCGTCTGCTGCTGGAACACGTCGATGGTGTCCTCGTCATCCATCTCCAGCTGTCAGTCACGGTGCCAGGTACACAGAGAGAAGCCCGTTAGTTTTCCCTGTCCTGGTGTCTCCGAACCTCATCCCCACTGCGAGGCCCCGCCCCTCTGTCCCGTGCAAGGTGAGGTGCCATGGCGGAGCTGCAGAGTTCACCAAATTCTCAAAGCTAAGCACTGGGGCATTCAAACACACAGTAGAACGTCTAATTCTTCCTGGGAATCGCACACAGATCCCCACCGAGAACGCTCCGTGACTGGCCCATGGGCGCCGTGCACCTCAGAGCGAGCCCAGCGCTAACAAGAACGGCCATGGGCAACGGCTGTGCTGAGGACAGGGTCCCAGGCTGGCGCCGCCCCCCCCCCCCCCCCCCGGCACCTGAGAGGCCAGGGCACAGGGTCACCAATACTTCCTGCTGGCTTCTCTTCTGACCCCTGGGCCCAAAACTTCTATGCTGGTCTTCGTTCCCTGAACCAAAGGGAGCTCCTGCCAGGGTCACACAGGGAGAGGAGGCTGGCAGCAGCGGCACTGCGCGGGGACGCGGGGCCTCTGCTCCTGCCTGCCCCTCCTGGCTCAGGCCCTGCTGGGTTCTAGCAGCCTAGGACAGCTGGGAGCCCCTGCGCGGCACAGCCCATCTCGACAGTGTAGGGTTTCAAGTGGCCCGAAATTAAACGATTATTGCAAACAAGTGTTCAGTATTTATTAAATGCTGAATACACTTTGCAACAGTATTTTCACTTGAGGCATCCCCATGGATGCTCACAGCATGGCAGGCAGGAGATCGGGTATGATGGCCCTTCTACAGACAGAACAGACAGACTCGAGATCCAGCTGCTCCTGACCCCAAGGTTATCGACTGACAAGTGACAGGAGCTGCACCTGAACTTCACAACTCCTAGAGGCAGGCATCTGCTGAGCAGTTAAGACACTGCTTGGGGCCGGCGCCGCGGCTCGCTAGGCTCATCCTCCGCCTTGCGGCGCCGGCACCCCGGGTTCTAGTCCCGGTCAGGGCACCGGATTCTGTCCTGGTTGCCCCTCTTCCAGGCCAGCTCTCTGCTGTGGCCCGGGAGTGCAGTGGAGGATGGCCCAAGTGCTTGGGCCCTGCACCCCATGGGAGACCAGGAGGAAGCACCTGGCTCCTGGTCGTGCAGCACCGGCCGTAGCAGCCATTTGGGGGGTGAACCAACGGAAGGAAGACCTTTCTCTCTCACTGTCTGTAACTCTGTCAAATAAATAAATAAAATTTTTTTAAAAAGACACTGCTTGGAACGCCCACATGAGGCAGTGCCCGGGTTTGAGGCCTGGTTTCTGCATTTCCAATCCCAGCACCCTATTAAAGCACACCCCGTGAGGCCAGGTGATGGCTCAAGCAGCTAGGCCCCTGCCATCCGCACGGGAGACCCAGACGGAGTACTGGGCTCTCGGCGTCGGACTGGCCCAGCCCCAGCTGTTGTAGGTATTTAGAAAGTGAACCAGCAGATAGCATATCTATCTTTGCCTCTCTCTCTCTCTCTCTCAAATAAATAAATAAATTTAAAAACA